GAGTGATGGACTCAGGATTTGTTTTCAGGCATTTTGATAGCTGTTGGAGTGGCTAGAATCAGTGTCAGTTACCTCTCAAAGGCTTCTAGATAGGGAGAGAAACAAATTTAGCCATCATCTATAGCCATCGTTTAATTTTTTTGGCTAGAATGATAGTGGGTTGTCTCCCTTAGCTGTAAGTGGGCACTACAGTATTGTAGACCAAGATTTGAAGTCTTACATCTGAGTAATGTTGTCTTATTAGGAGCAAAATTATCAATGAGAGATAATTGACTAAATAACATAAGAACTTATGTCTAATGTCTGGCTGTGTAAAAACTTGAACCTTAAAATATTGATGACTTTAATTTTGGTTATACTTTCCTTTTGGGTGTTTAAGACCATGCTGTTGGCCCAAATAAACCAATTTATTTTTACTCTTAAGGCCGTATGAGGATTTGGTCCTCAGGGGTCACATGGGCTTGTGGGGAGCCCCTGGCTCCTCAGGCTTTTCTTTTACCAGTTCCATCTATGTGAAGATAAGTCAAAAGGTCTTGCTGGACCAGGGCTTTGCTTGGAAGTCTGGAGGAAATGTTTCCTCTGTTGACCCTCCTCTTTGCAGACTGGACACTGGTTCAAGTCCCTCTTCTGGGGTCTCCATGGCCTCCCTGAACAAGAGGACAGGTGACTCTCCAAAGTTACAGAACAATTCGAGAGATGTGCCATAGCCCCTGGAACTTGTTTGACCTTGGAGGACCAGGAACAAAAATTGGTCCCTTTAAGTCCCTCTGACCATATTAATGTAGGTCTTAGAGTCTGGCTATTAAACATCCAACAAGGTTAGTTACACCAGTCTGGTACATTAATTACCATGTGCTATGTAGATAGAGCTTGGGCAACATCCTTAAATAAACCTTGACTAGATATCCTTAGACTAGTTGACTAAGCTTCGACCTTAGAAATTTCAAGATTGTCTACACATTATCCTTGGTATATTATAACAATCATACACAGACTTTCATCACCTGCCCAGCTTTCTCATTTCTCTGTCAATTCTGGAAACATCCAGCCATCATAATTTTCAAACATAAATCCTTCTTTAAAAATATCTCCATTCTCATATCCTTCCAACATCCTCCACTTTTCCATTTTCCTTTTTTAATAACCATGAGACACAATAACATTAGCAAACAAATTTTTTATCTGTTGTGAGACTTCTTTTCCTGGGGATACTAAGCAATGTTTTTTCCCCTTATTATGTTGTAGTATCAAACCAATGTTTGATTACATTATAGTTTTTCTGGGGAACCAGTGAATTTACTGAGCTTACTTACAGAGATGACTGACCAGTGAATTTACTGAGCTTACTCACAGAGATGACTGAGGGGTTGCTGAGGTATATGCGTGGCCTGAGAGTATTTACATTGGGAAGCCTTAACCCAGCACAGATCAAGCCTTCTCTTCCTAGCCTTTTTCAGATAATATACTTTAGTCTTCCCCAAGTCCGGGAGACCATGTGATTAGGGCCAAATTACATACAGCTGGCTGGGAAGAGCAGCTGGATACTCAGGTGAGGGTCCGATGACCCTGTTCACCCTCCTCCTTCAATGAAAGAATATGATAGTCAAGTCAACAAGTTCAGTTGTGATGATTTTTGTTAGTGGACACAGCTGAAGTCATGAAGATGGTGGTTGTTTGACTCAGAAGAAAGTAGTGTGTAGCATCATCTTATTAAAAGAACATGGAATCTACATTATATACCTAAGAAAATGTAATAAGTTAATATTACCTGTGTACATACTGTGTTTTATAAGTCTGTAGGTAAATCTTTTACCTTATGTAGTTTAGAGAGTGGTCTACCAAAACCTTGCTTTAGGTGGAAAAAAAGCAATTGGTACATAAACATTATTGAATTGATGTTTACAACCTCCAGCATAATCAATTAGGGAAAACTGTGCTATAACCCTGTTCAGACTTTATAACTGTTAGAATGGAAGAGGTGGGAGGGGTGTTCTGTCCATGAGGGGACAGAGGGGCAGGAGTATCGGAGGCAGGGTCTGGAATCAAAGTAGAAATTAGATACAGGAGGGATAAATGGGTTATTTGAGCTAGAAGTCAGAATAGGGGAGACGAGGGAATATTTGGCAAGGAGGTATTTAAGGTTTTGGATTTCCTCAAGTAGAGGACAGTTAGTGGAAGGTGAGAGGGTGAAGGACTTAGAGCAGCACTGGAGAGGGGGAAGGTTGTGGTGTGGAGAGGGAGTTTGAGTTGGAGAAAGGAGGAGAGCTGGGTTGGGCCCTGGAATGGGAGGCAAGGAGAGTACAGCAAGGGGAGCATGGGGAGGACTTGGCTATGCCTCAGGCTGGGGAGCAGGAGGAGGTTGGGTCCTAATCGGAGGCTGTTCATCAGCTATGGTAGGATCAAAAGCTGAAGTGGAGGGGGAGGGAGGAGGAGGAGGGGCAGAGGCCCCTGGCAGGTTGGGATCCTATGATACTGTCTTAGCCAGAAGAACCTGATAAATTAAGGAGTTTGATTGTGTGGGCCTTGGAGACCCAGAGGGAGGGATTAGCACGGAGATCAAAGGAAGCTTGGCTGTATGGGAATTCAGACTGTTTGCCTTTACAATGGCAGAAATTTTCTAAATCTCTCACAATATTGAAGTTTAAGGTTCCAGTGTCTGGACAAACAGAGTCATTATCTAACTCTTACTGAGGCCAGGCAGTGGTGCACAGGAACTTCAGGCGTTTTGGCCTGATTGTAACTGAAGTTCTAGTTGTTTTAAGGATTTAAGAAGACAAGCAAGAGGTGTGAGACCCCGAGACTTTGAGTGGGTGTTTCCCATAGTGTTAGATTAAGTACAGAGTGAGGAGGAGATAGAGAAAGAACCCAGCAAGCGGGTAGGAGGTAGAGACAGAACCGAGAAGATGGAAGACAAAGAAATTCCTCTCTCCATAGGGAGTGGAAACAGGATCATGAGCCTGGGCAGGAAAGCATAACAGACGAGGAAGAGAGAGACGGGGAGGGAGTAGGAGGAAAAGGGGTTTGGCATCAGTCATGCAAAACGAGAGCGAGGAGAACCAGGCACCAAAACAAAGCGTCCTTTTTTGTTGCTCGGGTTCGAGTTATTATTTTCGAGTTATTTCCAAGTCCCAGAATGCAGCGTCCCGCGATTAGATCACCAGGGAGAGGAAAGGCGAGATCCTGTCCTGGACAGGAAGTAGTGCGTGTTCCTGTCTCTGGAAATAGCGTCCTATGTCCAGAGAAAGGAAAGGGGTTTCCGACACACATGGGATTTCGAGGCAAGCGAGAGGAGCAGAAAACCCTGCAATGAGAGCGTGGCACGACCAGCCAGTAGATGGAGACAAAGTACAAGGAATGGGATGGGAGAAAAGCAGAAAAAACACAGTGAGCCAGAAGGGAGGGAAGTTTGTAGAACAAGTTGATCCTGAGGTTTATTTAGTAGAGGCTGAGGGAAGGTGAGCCCCAGAAGGGTAGTGGTGAGAGGGGGGCGGGGAGAGAGATGGGGGGGGAGAGAGAGAGATAGGGAGGGAGGGA